TCCTGTCAAGTACTGAAGCTGTGTGGCTACAGGAGTTCCAAGATCCTGAAGAAATCTCTGAAATTCGAGTAGCTGTCAACCTTAGTGTCGAGCAACCCATTGAATCATTCCCTGTATTCGTGAACATCAGCTCTTATCGACGAATGGTTCGTGTTATGGTATGGATACAGAGATTCATCAGTATCCTGAAGAAGCAGCCTGAAGTTCCGAGAACAGAGGAGATAAGTAATGCGGAGAAGACAGCCGCCTTACAACAGTTGGTGAAGTTAGTGCAGGGGGAGGCCTACCCCGAGCTGATCCACCAGTTGCAGCAAGGAAAGGTGATCGACTCAAAGCACAAACTGATCAACCTTTCACCATTTATCGACAAGCATGGAGTTTTACGTGTCGGCGGTAGACTGCGGAACAAAAACTGTAATTTCGACATGAAGCATCAGTGCATACTACCTCCGTACCACAAATTTACGGAAGCCGTCATTCGTGAGTATCATCGTGAAAACCTACATTCCGGCAACCAGCTAACTCTGTCGATGATTCGGGACACATTCTGGATTGAGCGTGGTAAGACTTCTGTAAAACGATTCGTCTGTCTACGATGCTTTCGTCACAAGCCGAAACAACTGCAACAGTACATGGGCGACCTACCATTGGACCGGGTAGAGTTAGTCTACCCTTTCTACAACACAGGGGTGGATTTTTGTGGACCGGTGTACCTGAAGCCAACAATTCGATCAACGACCCGTGCGAAGTCCTATATTTGCGTATTTGTGTGCCAAGCAACAAAGGCAATTCATCTGGAGTTAGTAGGATCCCTGACTTCAGTTGCTTTCATCGCTGCGCTACAAAGGTTTGTGTCCCGACGAGGAAAGTGTGCCAAGCTAATGTCCGACAATGCGACTAATTTTGTTGGAGCAAACAACAACCTAAAGGAACTGCACGAACTCTTCAACTCGCAGCCCTTCCAGCGGAAACTACAAGAATTTGTCGAAGAAAAGACCATTAAGTGGATCTACATTCCTCCTCGTGCGCCATCGTTTGGAGGTTTGTGGGAAGCTGGAGTCAGATCGCTGAAGTACCATCTAAGTCGAACCCTTGGTGAAGCGATACTGACTTACGAGGAAATGACCACAGTGTTGACGAGAATAGAGGCAACATTAAATTCCAGACCACTTTGTTCATTATCGGACGACCCTACCGATTATAACGCCCTGACGCCTGGTCATTTCTTAATCTTCCGACCACTCAACGCTATTGCTGAACCTGACTTGACTGATGAAAACATGCACACCCTGTCCCGATGGAATCGAATCACACAATATGTTCAGCATTTTTGGAGCAGATGGAACGTGGATTACATCAATCAACTCCAACAACGATCGAAATGGCACACCAAGGTTCCAGTGAGAGCAGGACAGCTAGTGATAGTACGAGAAGACAACGTTCCTCCTCAACAATGGTTACTGGGGCGAATTGAGCAACTTTTTCCTGGTAACGATAACATCGTTAGAGTCGTGACAGTGAGAACAGCCCGAGGTGTCTACAAGCGGTCGGTTTCACGACTTAGTATGCTGCCGATAAAGGACAACCAACCGCAAGAATCAAGCAACTTGAATCAATAACAGTGAAGGCGAAGTCCCGAGAAGTTTCGATAAGTCCACAGTACCGATGGTAATAAGGTGTTGAAAGCTCCCTTTCAACGGGGGGAGAATGTACGAGACGCAATCAACTAGTCCCGAGCGAGTCGACCTATTTCCAGCGTAGCAACATCCATTGACGACCACTGATGAAGAACATCGAATATGACTAATCAAAATTAGACGAGTTACGCGGAATAAAGATGAGTATACGATTAGACAGAGAAAAGGCTAGTAATTTCCCACTAACCCAACCTATATAAGCTAGGGAAATTAACATTCTGGAGCTTCTTGCTTATAAAAACTCGCTCAAATATAGTTGGTAAAGAAAACTACAGTAAACGTTAAACTAATTGTCCCGAGTAAAAAAGTGTTCCGAGAATAAACGGTGTTGAATGTTTCGATAAAAATTAAGTGTTTCGATTTGCGCGAGAGAAAACCAAATCTCCCTTCATCTATCCGGGAACCAGTTACCTATAGAAAAAATACAGTCCACTTATCATCGTTCCCAACACTTGTAAAACGAAGTTTTTTGACAATGGTAGCTATCTCAAATATTTGCTTAAATTCACCTACTTTCTGCTTGTCTTAACCGACTACTATTCATTACAGAACTTTGGCACATCTCAGCAAAATTTCTGGAAAATTTCATCCAACGCATGTCAAGGTGGTTAGGCTCTGTGGATCTCATTCGCCGGTTTGCTTACATCCTAATTTGTTTGCATTAGAAATGAATCATTCAACAACCATCGGAACCGTGATGATTCAAGAAAAAATAGGGGAAATGGCCTCAATGTTGGCCTATGGATCTAAGATTGGGCCCACCGCTAAAAATCTGCTATTTATCAATTGTATCTAGATGAACGCGTCATTGGGACGGTACTAATGAATATTTTTGGTCGCTATTGAAAATTTAGTCGATTGCTTAATTTAGGCATGGGCCCAAATTAGGGGTATTTAGGCCGACATTACATCCTTTTCCCCTATTATAGATTTCTGAATCAATAAATCCAAACTAAACTAAATCGAAATGACGTCTGAGATAAATCTGTACAGAAAATTAGACTTTTTTTACGAAAATTATGCATGGTAATTTTGATAAAAAAAAAATCGAAAAGGTGTTTAATTCTGAAATATTTCAATAGACTGTTGAATTAAATTCAACTGGACGTTTACAAAGTTATAATTCTCGCCCAGATACAAATGTATAAATACGATCAAAAATATAATTTTCCTTTGTTCCCTTTGTAAATTTCAACCTCAATCCAATCAATAAAACAGCTGAAAGTTTTAGCAGTAAGGCCGATTCTGGTAGCTACTTCAATACATCGGATGTATCTCAGATGCAGTGATAACAATAGTATAAGGTCAGGGCCCATGCATTAGTTATGTCACGCTACATCGAGGAAAATTTTACCCCCCCCCCCTCCCTTATCGTCACGTTTTTCCTGTACCTAATGCATTGCTTGTCACAAAATCTCAAACCCCCTCCCCCCCTCCTTAGAGCGTGTCATAATATATGCATCAACCCTTAGCTGTAGGTTCAATTTGATCGTTGTTACTAGTTTTGGTTTATACAATAGCTTTAAGTTATATAAATACACCTATTAATTAAGTTTAAGACTCAAACTGTCATTTATTAATTGAATTAGTTTTCGTTTTAACATTAAATTTTATCGTTTGTTACCATTTTAGTTTCCTCTTTCCTCCTGGATTTTCCGCTCTCTAATTTTACCTCAAATATGTAGACTTACTACTGCCCGATTCCTTGTTAAAGTATAGTTGTTCTGTTTAATAATAATATGTATTTTAGCTGTAAGTTTTAACTCACGGGAAACTAGGTCAAATGGATCCTTTCCTAGTGCATGAATCGTAGTAATAACCTCAATGTTGTGAAGTCCTTTGTAGATTAATATAAGTAGGTAAGTAAGTGGGTATTTAAATTTTACTTAATATTTACATTTAGTTTGTTCCTGATCTTTCAGTTGATAATGTAGATTTAATTTAGACTACCAACAAATTAATCACTTTAATTTTCAGCAAGTGCATTAACCATGCGACGGTCTTCTCACACATTTATTCTTGTCGATGACAGTCCAATCTAACGTTTCCATTTCTACCTATTATTTTATGACAGTTGTGCTGTGGCCCTATCGATCATTTTTCAAACGCTCCCGATGGGGACTGCCACAGTAGACCGCAACAACCGTCTTTACTGGAAATCGTACTGATGACCTTTCCTTTTGGCCGGCAACTCCGGGGCATCTTAGGGTCGACGATAATTACAACATCTCCATTAACGACCGGCTTAACAGACTGGACCCATTTGGATCGACGAGTGATTTCAGGAAGAAAATCAGTTACCCACCGCTTCCAGAACAGGTTGGCCAGAATCTGATAGGTGCACCAATTCTGCTTCACGGCGAGACGACAGTCGTCACTCTTGACCAGTGGTTTCGATCCGTTGGATGAACCGAGTAGGAAATGGTTCGGGGTGAGAGCCGGAGCAGAACCGTCGTCTGTCGGCACGTGCGTGAGTTTCCAGGAGTTTACCACGTTCTCTATTTTGGTTAGAGTGTTTCGCAGCACTTCATCGGACGGTTTTTTAGTTATGCAGACGGCCATCAGGTGCTCGTATTAGCCGCTCCCAACTTCCACCCATATGTGATGCCAGCGGAGGATTAAACACCCACTCGATCTCAGAACTAGCGAACTCATTCATGATCTCATCGTAGTTGATCACTTTTTCAAGCATCTTCATTTCACGATCCGCTCCGACAAAGTTGGTTCCTTGGTTGCTGTAGAACTTATGAGGTCTGCCACGCCGAGCGACGAAATTCCTGATTGCCATAATGCATGAGATAGTGGTCAATGCAGTTATGCCACATATACATATTTATCTATAAACATACAGATTTTTTTCAATATTTTGATACAGATATCTGTATATACAGATTACAGATTTTTGAAAAAAAAAAAATACAGATTTTTCAAATAAGGAGAATATATTATTTTTTATATTTATTTATACTGATAAATAATCATTTTTTCCTTTTGAGCAACTTCAATCTTTGATCATCAAAACAAAACGTATTGTAGGCGCTTACCCAGAAATTTCCTACGTTGTGTTGTTTGTGTGTTGTGTTTCCCTCTGAGCGGTAGTAGCACAGGTAAGGTGAGGAGAAGTTCCTTCTTTTCAGGTTCCAGAGGACATCAATCGACGCACGGGCACCAGAAAGCGGGTGATTCCAGTGGCAGGTGAGTGAATCACTTAGGCAGGATACCTCTTTTACAATACACTTTATTATTCTTAGAAAAAGGCTTCTCAAGAAATAGGTTTATTTTTCGATCTGAACTACTACACTTTTAACACGGGAATGACACGGGAATGACGGCGAGTATGCGAAGGTTAAAAACTCGATTCTTTCCTTTCGGGTCTATTCGTGCCTGTGTTGCCAATCGTTGGCGGCGAAAATCAGCGGTGGGATCGTCACGTCGTTCTTCTTCGGGAATCGGTTCTGGATGCGGCAGCAGACAAATTTTGGTGATTGGTCTCTTGATGATGCCCTTCGCAGTTCGTAGGCTAACAACTCGAATTAACTTATCGCTTCCAGGGTGCACCTCCGTAATGCGGGCAAGCGGCCAACGGGGCGTCGGCAACATTTCGTCGATTAAGATGACCATTCGTCCGGGTTGAATCTCGTCGTTTCGTGCAGCAAGCTTGGTGTCCTTCATTAACTCCTGCAGGTACTCTGATCGCCAGTGACTCCAAAATTTCTGGATGTGTTGCTGGAGCTTTTGGAGGTGATCGAGGGTGCCCACCGATGTGTGCTGGAGGTCTGGGTCGGGCAGGGCCTGAAGAGACGTTCCGATGAGGAAGTGTGCCGGCGTCAGTGCAGCAAGATCGTTTGGATCGTCGGACATCGGGAGCAATGGACGAGAATTCATTACTGCTTCGATTTGATGTAAAATAGTGTAGTAAGCTTCGAACGAGAGACGTGTACTACCTAATTGGCGAAATAAATGCCGCTTGGCAGTCTTGACCGCTGCTTCCCATAGGCCACCAAAGTGTGGTGCCTTAGGAGGAGTCAAGTGCCACATTATCCCTTGCTCGGAGCAGGCTGAAGCGATTATGCTCTGCTCGTTGTTGCTCCTAAATCTGGCGAATAGCTCGACCAGTTCGCGCTTTGCTCCTTCGAAATTTTTCCCATTATCGGAATATAGGTGGGTTGGGACTCCCCGCCTTGAGGTGAACCGTCGCAAAGCCGCTAGAAATCCTTGGGTAGAAAGGTCCCCAACCAATTCCAAATGAACGGCCTTTGTTACAAAGCATACAAATACGCACAGGTAAGCTTTTGCGGGCGCGGCGCGCTTGTGAATAGGCTTGATGTACAACGGACCAGCGTAATCCACGCCTGTGTTGGAGAACGGACGACTTGGAACGATCCTTGAAGCAGGTAGCTGACCGATTTGCTGCTGTTCGGGTATCGGATGGTGCCGGGAGCAACGGAAGCAATTGGCTGGGTTTTAGTCTTTGATCGAGCTTTAGTAGCGAAACGCAGGCAGTATCCCATGGTGTGGAGCAAGCGATTGTATGACGACCACCGAAGGAACCATGGGTTAATGCTGGGTGTCGTTTGGACGGACACAACGACGGTTTTTGCTTCCAGATCTACTTCAGCAACGGTAGACGTATTTGAAATCGGCCAGGACTGCTGCGGGTCGGCCAACCAGGATGGACCATGCTTCCACGCCTCGTTCTTCACAAATTCCTCAACTGACATCCCACGTGAGACGAGATCTGCAGGGTTCTCTGAGCCAGATATGTGATTCCACCTGCCACCATGAGTGTAATGTTGGATTTCCGATACCCTGTTCGCCACGAATGTCTTCCACGAGCTAGGAGGTGCGCGAAGCCAGTATATGCAGACTGAAGAATCTGACCAGAAATACGATGCTGACACGTGGACGTTGATGGACTCTTTGATGCGGTGATATAGATGCGCTGCCAAGACGCAAGCACAAAGCTCAAGTCGGGCGATGGTCAGTCTTTTTAGCGGCGCCACCTTACTTTTCGAAGCCAACAGACGAATCTTCACCACTCCCAGGGCGTTTTCACAGCGGACGTACGTGCAGGCTCCATATGCAGCTGTTGAAGCATCGGCGAAAGTATGTAGCTCTACTCTAGCCTCCGGTAAGAATGCATAACGGTCAATTCGGTAAGTAGCGATCTTCGGTAACTCACGCCGGAAGTTCTCCCATTTTAGTTGAATGGCATGCGGTACAGGATCATCCCAGTCGCACGATAGAGACCACAATTCTTGCATCAGGATCTTCGCTGTGACAACGACAGGTGCAATTTGGCCGAGTGGGTCGAAGAGCCTAGCGATGTCGGAGAGGATGGACCGCTTCGTGGGTGGATCGTCACGTTGCTGTATTTGGGAATCAAACCGCAGTTGATCGGGCTCTGGCTCCCAGCGAATTCCTAGCGCCTTTATAGACTCGTTTGGGCTGAACTGCAAACTCGATTGAGTCCCAATCTGATCGTTTTCGAGTCCTTGTAGAACTTCTAGGCGGTTCGACGTCCACTTTCTCAACATGAAGCCACCTTTTTCAAGCAATTCCGAAAGCTCCCTCCGAAGCTGAACAGCTTCTTCAATAGAATTTGCTCCTCCGATGTAGTCGTCCACATAAAAGTTTTTGGGTACTGATGGACCAGCTAATGGATATGCATCACCTTCATCCGTCGCAATCTGCTGGAGAGTACGCGTCGCGAGAAAGGAGGATGGGGCTAGTCCATATGTCACGGTTAGCAACATGTAAGTTTGAACAGGAACATCTTTGGAGAACCGAAAAAATATGTATTGCAGAGGACAGTCATCTGGGTGCAGCAGTACCTGCCTGTACATTTTCGCTGCATCGCCGACGAGAGCCACGGGGTACGTCAAAAACCGAAGGATAATAGCGAGAAGGTCATCTTGAACCACCGGACCCACGCAGAGAGCTTCATTGAGGGAGAAGCCGGTAGAAGTACGAGCCGAACCATCGAACACGACTCTCACTTTGGTGGTCGTACTTTCCTCCTTTATCACGGGGTGGTGGGGTAGATAGTAAGTGTGGGAGTAATTCCCGTCGTCCGTTTCGACCAGACGCATGTGGCCGAGGGAGAGGTACTCCTTCATGAAGTTGTGGTATTCCTCCTTCAATTTCTGATCCCGATCGAGACGCCGCTCCAGTTGATCGAAACGTCGAAGAGCACTGGTCCTGGATTCCCCTAGCATGGCATCAAAATCAGACTTCCGCGGCAGACGAACGATGTATCGGCCTGTCGTATCTCGAGACGTGGTGGACTGATAGTAATCTTCACAATAGCGTTCTTCGATCGAATAGTTGTTGCTGACGGTCAGTTCCTCGGTCTTCCAGAATCTTTCGATACTCTCTTCGAGTGTCAGCATGGAAACAGCGACGATGGTAGGATTGGAAGATTGCTGTTGAGCTGGGTGAATCATGCTTGCTGATCCCGTGACAACCCAGCCAAATACACTGTCCACCAGCATAGGAAGGTTTTCAGCCAACTGAAGACGAGCAGTGCTTGGGAAGAAGGAGTGAAAATGCTTAGCGCCCAGAACCATGTCAATCTGTTGACTCTTGTTGAACATGGGATCGGCCAGCGCTAAATTTTGAGGAATCTGCCAGTCATTGACGGAAATGTCCTGTGCGGGAAGATCTGATGTCACTGTGTCCATTAGTAGGAACTCAACGCCACATTCGAAGGCATCGTTCCTCGACTTGATCCGAGCGAAGATTGATTCTCGCACCCTCTTCGAAAGATTACCAGCCCCTTGGATGATCACGTTCACAGAACTTCTCTTCAAATGCAACCTGCGTGCCAAGCGATCAGTAATCAAATTCGGCTGAGAAGCGCTGTCGAGCAAAGCGCGAGCAATGTTATCTTGACCGTACGCATCAACGACCTTCACCAACACCGTCAAAAGGAAAACGTCTTCTCGAGGCTGCGGAGCAGAAGCACTGACGACGACCCTGGAAATACTTTCAGCTGCTGCAACAGAGGATTGGGAGGCTGGCTTGGGTACAGAAGAACCGCTAGACTGAATAGCTTGTGTTGGCATAGAAGTACGAACGGAGGATGACTCGCTTGCTGACCTTGAACTCCCGCCAGAATGCAGCATGGTGTGGTGACGCTTGTTGCAGTGCCTGCAGTTGTAGTTCGAAGGACAATTTCGAGCAATGTGGTCACCCTTCAGGCAGTTGTGGCATAAACGTTTGTTGGAAACGAGTTGCTGTCGTTCGGACTGGGAAAGTTGGTTGAATTTCGCACATTTCATCAACGGATGTTCCTGGTTGCAAGCCGGACATTTGATACCAGAACTAGAAGTGGAAGCGCAAGACGAGAGGCGAAAATGCGATGGCTTCCTGGAAGCATGCGTGGACTCATTCGGAGTGGATGCAAGCTGATGATGGTTCACCAAGATGGATTCCAAAACTCGCATACGACGCTGAAGAAACTCGATCAGACAGTTGTAGTTTGGCTCGTTGGTGGTTGACGCGTGATCTTCCCATGCCTTGAGCGTATCGTTGGGAAGCTTTGTACACAGGAGATGTTCCAAGATGCTGCTCCAGGAATCCGTTGGTTCACCTAGTTGACACAAAATTTTCGTATGACGCTGGAATTCGTCCACCAGTGTATGTAATGACGCAGCAGTTTCCTTCTTCGCCGATTGAACCTCAAAAAGAGCCTGCAGATGTCGCTTTTTTAATAGGTAGTCGTTGGCGTACCTGTCAACCAATGTCTGCCATGCCAAATTGTAGTTTGCAGAACTGATCGAGATAGATTCTATCAGCTGCGCTGCTTCACCTTTCAAAGCTGCCCTCAGATAGTGGAATTTCTGAATCGCAGGAACCTCGGCGTTAGAGTGGATCAAAGCCAAGAATGTGTCGTGGAACCCTAGCCACTGCATATAGTCCCCGTCGAATTCAGGAAGCGAAATTGTAGGAAGCTTCAACCCAGAGAGAGTGGAACTGTGCGAAGAAGTTTCAGGGATGCGAGCTTGCTGAGTGACAACAGGAAGTCTGGAGATCAAATCGGCTTTTATTCTAAAGAGCCGCGGCTCAAAATCGGCACGGATACCAGCATTACTTTGCCTACCTTCTTCGCTGTCTTCGCTGTCTTCTAGCTGCCCCTGCACCTCCTCCAACGTGGCCCACATGTTGTTCAGGTACTCAAGGCGAATGGGCACCTGCATCCGATCGCGTTGCTCGTCGAAGAAGTTCACGAACGCCTCTGCCCGACCCAGCGCGGTGATCATCGTTGCCCTCCGGGAAAGCAGAGTCGCCTTATCTAGCTGCAGCGGCATCTTGGACTGGGTAACACGGCACTCGATGCTCCGTAGACGAAAAAGGTCTGTTAAACAAAAAAGACCACGATAGACCCGGACGAAAATAGATAGTCACTTGGAATGGTACTCACCAGTTCCAAGGCAAGTATGTGCCTTGAATTTCAAGAAAGCTGCAAACTGGAACGGATGGCTTGGATACAATGACGGAACGGCGTCACTTGGATAACAGCTTCGATTCTTCCACAATGGCGCTAGATGGCCGAAACCGTGATGGCGGTAGTAGAAAAACCGTACGGAATGACCCTCCATTGAAATGGCGGGAGCAAGATGGCAGCGCCCAGTGGATCGTCCCACGTGCTTCGGTCGTATGCTTTGACCGCGACGGTGTCGAAGATCCTGGTCACGGCACCAAATTTATGTAGGCGCTTACCCAGAAATTTCCTACGTTGTGTTGTTTGTGTGTTGTGTTTCCCTCTGAGCGGTAGTAGCACAGGTAAGGTGAGGAGAAGTTCCTTCTTTTCAGGTTCCAGAGGACATCAATCGACGCACGGGCACCAGAAAGCGGGTGATTCCAGTGGCAGGTGAGTGAATCACTTAGGCAGGATACCTCTTTTACAATACACTTTATTATTCTTAGAAAAAGGCTTCTCAAGAAATAGGTTTATTTTTCGATCTGAACTACTACACTTTTAACACGGGAATGACACGGGAATGACGGCGAGTATGCGAAGGTTAAAAACTCGATTCTTTCCTTTCGGGTCTATTCGTGCCTGTGTTGCCAATCGTTGGCGGCGAAAATCTACACAGATGATCATAACTGTCCTAATTGGGGTGTGAAACATGGATAGAACGAAATCGCATGCAAGTGACGTTCAAACAATGCTACATTTTGATCAGTGCTTCAACACGTATTTTTCACTAAATGGGGCCTGAATTAAACCCTCATTTTTTGACCCACGCCTGATCAATATTTGTCAAAAGAGCATATTTCCGTTCAATGATTACACTAGTTTACAGCATTTTTGAACTCGGTAAGGTGATGATCATTTCCAATGCAAAATCCTACGCTGAATTCAATGCCCTGGTCAGAAAAAAAATAAGTAGAGCCATTTTTGAGATATACAAAAATTTTGATTTTTTGAATTTTGGACAAAAGTACGATTACTAAAATGTCAATATCTTTGGAACTAGGGCACCAATTTTAAATCTTTTTTATGAAAATGAAGCTAAATAAATGTGCTATCGTTCACTAGAATATTATTTCTTTATTAAAAATTTAATTTTTGAGTCATTTAAAAATTTACAGCATTTTTTTTTATTTTTCCTGCAAATTTTTCCATAAAAATCTTGTTTTAATCAACATTTTTAATGGGATAAAAAGATTCAAAAAATCATTCCATAATTTATTCTTAAAGTCCATTCAAAACAGGAGAAAATGAGCCTTTAATGGATGAAATCGGTTGGAAATTGTCGAAGTTATGAGCATTTTTGTAAAACACTTAAAAATGTTGCTGAAATACAACAGCTTTAGAGTTCCTTTTCTAGGTGTCGTTGTAAGCATCCAAATCGCATGTAAAGTTTTCATGGGAGATTCTTTTCTCTACATATCAATTTGATTAAGGCATATCAGGATTTAAAACCGAGTTGATACAAAAGAAATTTATTTAGGTTTTATTAAAAATGATTGAGAATCGAATGACTTTGTCTTCGATGTTTTGAACTTGTTTCTCGAATCAGAAACCAACAATAGTCACCCATCATTGCTTCATCCCAAAACCCTTGGTAACGACGTTCCATCATCTTCTGTTGATGAAAACGTTCGCCGTGCTCATCACTCTCGTCAACAAATACACCTTCCTTTATCTTTGCGTCAGATAAATTTGGAAATACTGATTTCAAGTACTGGAATGCCGGCCCTTCTTTTTGCAACGCTTTGACGAAATTTTTGAATAGCCCAAGTTTTATATGTAGTGGTCGAAGTATTATGCGTTCTTTTACCACAAGAGGATCATTTTTAACGTTGTCTTTACCAATTGTGAAATTATCCCGTTTTGGCCAATCTTTTCGGACGTAGTGTTCCTTACGAGCTCGACTGTCCCATTTACACAAAAAACACATATATTTTGTGTATCCCTGTTGCAATCCAGTCAACATGGCAACCACTTTAAGATCGGAACAAATTTTCCAATTGTGTTGATTGTTATTTATCAAATTGAGCAATAGAGCCATTGATTCATACGTTTCCTTCATATTTACGGCATGAGCTAATGGAATAGAAGGTTTCTCATTCCCTTGATGCAGTAAAACGGCTTTCAAGCTCAACTTGCTGCTATCGATGAATAAACGCCATTCAGCTGGATCATATGGCTCACCAAACTCTTCAAACAAGCCGTTTATGTCATGGAAAAAACATGCCTTGTCCTTTGTAGAATAATATTTGTCAAATTTCTTGTGACGATTCCTGTGACAAGAAATTTTGACCTCCTTGCTCAGCATGTTGTGTTCTTTCAAGCGTGATGCCAGCAATTCGGATTTCACCTTCGATAAGTCGAGATCTCGCACCAAATCATTAAATTCGGATTGTGTAAACAGTTTTGGGTTTCTTTCCAATTCCACCTCGAAGTCTTCCTCGCATTCCTCCTTGAATTCCTCCTCACTTTTTGAAACGGTCGATTCAACAGAGGGCGCTCGTTTCCGCTTTGGATAAACAGGATACGGGACCGAACTTGAATGTGGAACAGGTTTTGTCATAGAAGCCACTTGTGGATACTCAACTGTTTTGTGACGTCCTTGTTGCTTAACTTTTGTCAAGCAGAAATAACAATCCGTTGCATGACAAAACGGTCGACGCCATATGGTGGGCATGTCAAAGGACAAATAGTGACTGACAGATAACAAATAAGTGAGTTAGTAAGTAAGACATTAACACTTATCAAAAATAGATGAAGTAAGATAATGTCGATCAGGAAAGAACAAAGCACTACCATGCTGTACATAAATGGTTTATATGAAAGTTATTCAAAAAATCAATTTACCTTGCGCCTGACATCCACCTAGCCAAGCACGTTTTGCACGAACTACATAATACTTTTGGAATCCACGGTTCGTCAAAGTCTCCAGGATCAATTTTAAAATAAAGCCTGTATGCAGTTTGCAACGAAGCAGTGAAATTGACCGATTTTGTAAATATATAGTTGCCACATGCGTAGCAAAACTTTTGAGGATCATTTTTACACTTGAATTCACGTTTTGTCGTATACATCGTTAAGCAATGTTAAAGAAAGAAAGCTGTCAAATTGAGTTGGTTGCGTTAGGTTCTCGCCGAGCGGTCTCACAAACACTAGCGTAAATTATATTGTTGAAAATATCCCATTTAATTTTGCGTGACAGCTGGTAGTGTTAGTGAAATGCACCGTATGCGTACACGTCCGCAGAAAGGCTTACTGGAAGTGGTGCATGAACCTAGGAGCGGGACAACGGCCAATCTTGGAACATTCAATTTCCATGATTTTACAAAAAAAATTTCATAACTTCGACAATTTCCAACCAATTTCATCCATTAAAGGCTCATTTTCTCCAGTTTTTAATGGACTTTAAGAATAAATTATGGAATGATTTTTTGAATCTTTTTATCCCATTAAAAATGTTGATTAAAACAAGATTTTTATGGAAAATTCGCAGGAAAAATTAAAAAAAATGCTGTACATTTTTAAATGACTTCAAAATCAAGACATAATATTCTAGTGAAATATAGATAGAAAATTTATTTAACTTCATTTTCATAAAAAAAGATTTAAAATTGGTGCACTAGTTCCAAAGATATTGACATTTTAGTAATCGTACTTTTGTCCAAAATTCAAAAAATCAAAATTTTTGTGTATCTCAAAAATAGCTCTACTTTAATTTTTTCTGACCACGGCATTGAATTCAGCGTAGGATTTTGCATTAGAAACGTTGGTCAACCACTAAAGTTCACACTTTTTATGTTGTTTTGTAAACTAGTGTTATCATTTGAATCTTTAAAATCAGCATTTGTTATGGCATCCTAATTATGCCTGCTCGGGTAATAATGTGCTCCAAAATTTCTTAAATTTTGGGTGATGGAAGATTAAATGTTCAGTAGGTTAGGTTAGATTAGGTTAGATTATCTTTATTAGCGAGACTTGCAGCCAGAGGCTGGTTCATCTCTTCTAAATGTTCAGTAAATCCATTCAGCAAAATATTTCTGAACGATGGCCTGCATTTAAGTTTACTGTACACGATTCAACAATTCGCTTAGCTGGAAGCTTATTTCAAAACGTGTGTGTAATCCATTCATACTTTTCGGAAAAAAAAATGTCTGATCAGTAGACTTTCAATTCATACCACGTGATCAAACACAACGGCCGATTTTGGTTAAAATTATAGCCCAAAGCTCACTCATCAATCGACTACCTCCGGAGCATCGCTTCGTAGCCGCAAAGATCTCCTCTCGCAGCGGGAGAGCCGAATTAACCTGGCGTTGATTATACCGCGCGATATCTCCCGAGAACACGGTCCCGAGCCCACAGCGGTCCAATAAACTCGCCGAAATTAGACTACCATAAAGCCGGTATCCTTTGGTCAAACAAATAAAAATTATCATTTTTCGTGTCCGCGCAGGAATCCCGCAGCGGTCGGAGAAGAATGTCCGGGATTCAAATGATTTCGGATCACCTGGGGCTAAATCAACAGTTTGGGTGTGAAGTGGAATGTTATTGCGCCCGCTCGGAGAGGGGTCGGCTCATCGTCGCTATTGTTGTCGGGGCTGGATGAAAAATGTGGATCCTCCGAGAATGAGGTTCAAATTAGAATCAATAAAAGTGTAATTCTCTGAACGTGGCAACTGGTTTATGGCTTTTCGACTTTGTAGTCGGTATTCTTTATGTTTATTTGATTTGAGTCCCCAGTTGGTGAAATTCATCCCAAAAAGTTAATTAAATTCACCTGACCGCGCTCGGAAACCTGATTTTTTTCCCTCTTTTCTTTGGTGAATCTAG